GGAATTCTTTATCATTATTTTGAATTAAAACAAGAACATTATGGTTTAAAGTCTATTTTTGAGATTAACGGACCGTTTTGGCTGCTGCGGAGCCTACACACTGAATGGATTTCTTTCTTATGTTTTATATATATTTGCAAAGGAAATTTCAATGTCAAATACAGGTTTCAAGATTGGTAGTGTCTCCAACATATACATATTATTAAAGAAAACGCTATGTTGGAGTTTCTTGTGGATGTACAAATGTTTACTAAAAAATACAAAAAAAGCACCATAGCTAGATAACTTTTCAGAAATGTTGTCTGTTTGATTGATAGAAAATCTCAATACAAAGATCAAATTTATTGGAATCAAAATCAGATACTATAATCTCTTCATTTATTAAAAATATAATTCAAGCTGATAAGAAATACTTTCCAAGAACAAAAGTCCATGCTTTTTATTAGATCTATACTATCGGGAGTATAAAAAAGCGAATTGATTTTTTTATAATAAAAAAAAAAATGTGTGAACTTTAACGGTGCTTTTTTGTGGACTTAAGCGGAACTTGTAATTGTGGACTTTAACGGCGTTTTCTTATGGACTTTAGGTGAGGTCATTTTGTGGACTTTAGCGGAAAGTTTGTGGACTTTAGCGGCGTTATGGACTTTAGCGGAAATTTGTTGTGGACTTTAGCGGTGTTGTGGACTTAAGATGAATTGTGGACTTTAACGGTGCCACACAGCTACTTAAATAATATATATCTTGTCACAACAAATTGAGTATATTTTTTAAAATCGGTTTCACTCTGCTGTTGGTCAAATATCAGTTGATGTAGCTTTATTTGGGTCTATATAAAAAGGGGTAGAGTTTTTCATACTTTGCCAAAATGCTATAATTTCAAAAACATAGTAAAAAGTATGGATCGCCGACCTTTTTTTAGAGCTTTTAAAAGTTTGTGAAAAATGTTCAGATTTTGTAAGGATTATACACGGGAAATGTAAATTTATGCGAATATAAAGATAACTAAAAGATAGAGTTTTAAATAATATATATATATGAGAAGACAGCTCTTAAAATGTGCTCTCCGAAAGCAAAAAAAAAACAAAACGGAATCCCCATATTCGTTTTCTTACTTCATCACAAAATAGGTAAATGTTTTGTAAATTCCTTTATAAAATAAATTATAAACATTCTGGATTATTTACTTGATAAAACAACCATGATTTAAAAATTTCAATCAATGAAACCTTTTTTTTAAATGAAAAAGATGTAACCATAAGATAAGCTCATTATTTATTCTTTTTTAATGAAAATTTCACAAATTAATTTCATTTATTCATCATTCAATCTTGCTAACAATAATGGTAAAAATTTTAAATCGATTATTTGTAGTTTTCTGCAATAGCAAAATAATAATCTAAACCCCGTTCTACCTTCAAATATTGAAAATCAACAATGGCAGCACAAGTACACGTATTTCTATTTCATACGTGATGCATATTCCATAAAGTTTTTCCTAAGGGATTTATCAAAAAATATTGCCAATTTTAAACATTTTCCACAAAATTGTTATTGATGTCAAAATCGTGAACTAATACGCATATGATGATGATTCATCGAGTTAAACCGATAATACTAGTATATGAAATATGAATTATAACACTAGTATAAGCGACTTTTATTTTTAGAAAAAAATGAATACAACGGACCTCTTATGAATAAAGTGGAGATAAAATGAGATTATGAAAAGAAAAATATCAGGCTATCGTCTATCAACATCTTTCAAATAATCAAATTAAGAAGCATTTGAATATTAGCTAAATTTTAAAAAGACAAATTGTGGGAGAGAAAATACCAACATCAACAACGTGACAAAAAGAAACTAATAATAGAAGGGAAGGAACAGAAACAAGAAACAAAGTATTAACAATTTTACTAGCCAAGATTGAAGAAGTTTTGCGGCACAAAGAACATTTACTTAATTTTTAGAAAAAGAAGAAACTGATAATACAGATATATATGCACAAAATATTTTGGAAGCACACTCTTCATAAGAGAAAAACGGTAGTGTCAGTTTTTCCCTGCATTTGTTTCGCTTATTGTATCAAAATCAGTTTTGAAGTTTCAAAACATTCTGGATTTTGAAAATGAAAGACGCTAAATAATATACAAAAAAGATGTTAAATCTTCTCACATACAAATGATTCAAAACGTCAAATTGTTATTCAGTGCTAAACATTGCTGTTAGGGGCAATTTTTCATGAGTGTTTAAAATATTTTTTTAATTCTATGGAAATTTGGATATCAATGTTTGCATTTATTAATGCCAACCCCAACATGGAAAAATGAAAATACATAATGAATCGAAGCGACTACGAAAATCTCTGCAAAATAAAGACTTCTTAAAAGAATGTAAATTCTATGGTTACATTAAGTGGCATTTTCACATAAGTAAAAAGCTTGTATGCTTGAAACGTTCTTTGAAACAACGTCAGCATCCTTGTTTTATTGGGACGTCGTGTAACGCTCAGTGGTACCAATACCGTGCGCAACGTCATAATATATAGCGCACTGGTGTTAATACAAATAAATCACTTATAAAAAACTTCCTAATTTCAGGAAATTTAAAACATGTTTTACGTGTAATATTTGTGTGAACCGGAACTACCGCGGTGTATGCTTAAATCAATCCAAAATTGGTAGAATTCGTATTCATTCCATGAAAAGGCAGCAATGATGCAGATCCGAAAGATGAATAATAAGAAGAAGCAGCTCTACCGTTGAAATCCCTAGTATCCGTCGGTTCTTTAGTTTCCATGTTTACTGACGATTACAAAATCGTAATAGGTAAAACAGCCATTATATACCTGCTGCATCGGTTGCTTTTATCTGTTCCGAAATTCACACAAATAATGACATTTTGATACTAGAATCATTACGTTTAGATATTTTACAAGGTCTCGATGATTATATATAGATCATAACGGAAGTGTGTAAATAAAACCTTAAATTTCAAAATATACAATTACTTTATTTAGTGAAAGAAACGTTAAATAAATCTTCTGCAGAGAATCCATTTTTGACGTTAATGATAAAAAAAAACGGCGTAAGCGTGTTACGGTAAGTGACACCAGTATCTTGCGACGTCTCATAGCCGTTTTATATAGCCGACTATACGGTATTGGTTTTCTCATTGTTGTAGGCCGTGCGGTTGCCTATAATTGCTTGCATCCACTTCTTTTGAACTTGGGTGGATAGTGGTCTCATTGACAATCATACCACATCTCCTTGTTTTTATAACTCATCAGATCGATCCAGAGAACATGAAGAATGTTTCTTAAACAGTGGACAATGATCTAAAATACACATTTACTGATTAACAAAGACGTTGCTTCAGATCCTTATAACTTCACAGAAGTTGTTCCCTGTCCATTATGGATTTGATTAAAGATTTTGATTTTAATGTTTTTTTACATTTTATATTTCTACATCAGTGAATATGTATTTTAGATCATTGTCCACTGTTTAAGAAACATTCTTCATGTTCTCTGGATCGATCATTATTGTGAAAAAACGTGAAGATTTGCCAAAACAGAGCTTTCATACTCATTTTATATATAAAATATACTATATTCTTGTAGAAAATTGTAAAATCATTTTTTTGTAAAAACGTATATACTGCCGCATTTTTTAAATATATCAGTGTATGATTTAACTGAAAAAAGGATAATTTGCTTTTTTGAATATTCTCTGCTGAATTATTTCACATGATAGGTGTTATCACGGTACCTTTTCTGTATACGCTTGGCTCAAGGTGCTGTGTTTACATTTATGAAATTCTTCGATTGGGTCCATAGAATACCGATACAATGTACATGATAAGATGACTAAAATGTACATACTTACCTTTCATTATAAAATTGAGAATGGAAATGGGGAATGTGTCAAAGAGACAACAACCCGACCACAGAACAGACAACAGCAGAAGGTCACCAACAGGTCTTCAATGCAGCGAGAAATTCCCGCACCCGGAGGCGTCCTTCAGCTGGCCCCTAAACAAATATATATACTAGTTCAGTGATAATGAACGCCATACTAAACTCCAAATTGTACACAAGAAACTAAAATTAAAAATAATACAAGACTAACAAAGGCTAGAGGCTCCTGACTTGGGACAGGCGCAAAAATGCGGCGGGGTTAAACATGTTTGTGAGATCTCAACCCTCCCCTATACCTCTAGCCAATGTAGAAAAGTAAACGCATAACAATACGCACATTAAAATTCAGTTCAAGAGAAGTCCGAGTCTGATGTCAGAAGATGTAACCAAAGAAAATAAACAAAATGACAATAATACATAAATAACAACAGACTACTAGCAGTTAACTGACATGCCAGCTCCAGACTGATTGAAAGATTATGTCTTCATCATATGAATATCAGGCACAATCCTTCCCGTTAGGGGTTTAGTATCATACCATCATAACATATATGAGAAGAACATAACCCGTGTCATGCTAACAACTGGTTTTTAAATAAAGTACATAGATATAAGAAGATGTGGTATGAGTGCCAATGAGACAACTCTCCATCCAAGTCAAAATTTATAAAAGTAAACCATTATAGGTCACAGTACGGTCTTCAACACGGAGCCTTGGCTCACACCGAACAGTAAGCTATAAAGGGCCCCAAAAAATTACTAGTGTAAAACCATTCAAACGGGAAAACCAACGGTCTAATCTACATAAAAAACGAGAAACACTTATGAACCACATCAACAAACGACAACTACTGAACATCAGATTCCTGACTTAGGACAGGTGCAAACAAATGCAGCAGGTTTAAACGTTTTAATGGTACCAAACCTTCACCCTTTTTCTGAAACAATAGTGTAACATCACAACATGCCTTTTTTATTTCTAACGAAATCATACAAACCTAAACAATTTTGGAACCATGACATAATATGGTAGTTATAGCGATTAAGTTGAATGTGACAAACTTGTGAAATATTTTGTAGATTGTGACGGATGAAATTAGTCGTGTGTTTATTATGGAGCGTTACATTGGTGGCATCACTTAACAGAGGGTTAATTATACAAGCCGAAGCTAAGTTAGACGGACTAAAAAATGCCTTGATAGAATTAGAACATGAATTTCAAAGAGGTTTGTGCAAATGTATGCTCTTCATTAATCAAAGTACCGTCAAAGTGTTTAATTGCAAACCTTGCTAAGATAGAAGAAATTGAAAACGACTCGTAGGAATTAGATGTAAACTGCATCTTAAGTGTATAACTAGTTCTCACAACATGTATGCAACTTGGTAAGTGCAATCTTTGGAATAAGGCAAAAAATTACGTGTATAATAACGTTTATGAAATTTCTTTGATAATTATAATCGTATTTACAACGGAATTGTGTCATGAAGAAAATCATTGTTTATACCATCTAGTTACATCTTCGTATTAATAAGATTTTTATTGTTATAATATCATTAATATGAACTTGATCAAGAGATGTGGTATGATTGCAAATGGGACAGCTATTTATCAAAGACCAAATGGTGTAGATCTTAGCAACTATAGATCACCGCACGGCCTGCAACAATGAACAAAACCCATTCCGAATAGCAAGCTTTAAAAGACCCCGACATAACAAAATGTAAAACAATTCAAACAAGCGAACTAACGGACTGATTCATGTACAAAACAACAAACGAAAAGCAAATATGAGATACAGCAACAAACGACAAGCAGTGAATTACAGGTTCCTGACTTGGGACAGGCACATACAGAATGTGGCAGGATGAGACATGTTTTCGGGCGCCCAATCCTCCCTTAACCTGTGAAAGTGGTGTAACATAAGAACAAAATATCAGGACGTTGGTTTTTTCTCTTTTGAATTGTTTTACATTTTGTTATGTCGGGGCCTTTAATGGCTTGCTATGAGGTATGGGTTTCGTTCATTAGCGACCTATAGCTGCTAACCTCAACATCATTTGGTCTGTAGTGGATAGTTGTATCATTGGCAATCATACCACATCTCCTTTTTATATAAAAATCAGTTGAAAAGGGCTTAACTCAGCAGATTGATACAAAACACACAAAAACAACTAACAAAAACACGAAAGAGACAACTGAGTACCGCAGATACAAAAAGCTAGTTCAAGCCAATAATAAAAAATATGAAAAATGAAAAAAAAAGTTTGCTTAAAATTATGAAATATTAGCATAGAATATAGAAATGTTTACAGATGTTGTTTTTTTTTCAAAATTAAATTAAAAGTTAAAATTTTAACAACAATTGTTTCTCCCTTTAATGTAAATGAACCAATTGAACTTATAATTCCATTGTCATGCTTATAAGGGACTCAGAATAATAGTTAATAGCTATTTTATAATTATAACTGTACTTTTAGATGAAAATCATGTTCAAAGATGGTTCAGTTCTATTGACGAGGAAATGAGACGCTTAAACAATGAGTATGCTAATGCTGAATGGGACTTTGAAACAAATATGTCCAATAAAACAGAAACTGAGGTAAACAACGTTACGTTGTGCGAGCATATATTTGTTGAATTGCAAAAGAGGACGGGAATAATATTTGCCATAACTTGTATGTTTTCGTTGTCGTCCAAGACAGATATTCCATAACAGTCAACCACATCATGATGACGTCCTTAAAACTTTCGAGGAGATTCATTCAACCTTACTAATATCTTCCTTGTAAGCAGCAATCCTTAATCATGGAGTTTTGATAGATTTAATTTAATCTGCGAGACCTCAAAATTACTTAAAAAGTTTTGTAATAATTGATCTTTTGTCGAGAAAACATTTTGTAAATTTCAATTATTTTAGAAAACGCCCTTAAAACAAAATGCTAAGAACGTTCAGTAATAAAATTTGTAAATAAAAAGGAGTGTCAACATTGAAAGTGAAAATAGGAAGCCAACAGGAAGAACCATTTCGATGACCGATTCTACCCACAAAAAAAATGTTAAAATATTTTAATCTATGACACGAAATTAAACAGACCTATAAAAATCGTCATTATACGATTGAAAGTGCTTATCTGTGTTTTTATGACTATATTTATGTTTATATCGGATGATATGAATATCGGCAGTCTTCGTAGGTCATCTCGATCGTTAACTAGATGGCGTCGAGTCCAAAATACACACACAATAATGATACATTATAACGAGTTCATAATATTTTGGTAAATGTTCTTTTGAACTTTTTGTAATTTGGATATACGTTCTAGTATGTTGTAAATCAAATATGAGAATTTGAGTGAAATCGGTGAACATCAAATTGACAGCTAATGCAAAGCTTTTTGTTTTAAAGTTTCATAGTCAACAACTGAAGCTTTAGCTGTATAATACTTTTATTATTTTACAGCATGTTCACATGGCAATTAAGGCATCCAGATCAATGAGAGAAATAGCGTTAAAGGCTAGAGAAAAACAAAAACTGCACTATTTGAGAAAAGATACCAGGCGGAGGCTCAGATTACTGTCACAGTTTTCTGATCCAACTGATAAAAAGGTTTTAGAGTAAGTTTGTTGTAAGAAAAAACACATGTCACAGTCACGTGGTTAAGAGAAGATATATAATATCAAGAAAACAATCAAATCGTCAAATGATGAGAGTAAAAAAAAAGAAATTTAATCGAGAAAATTAACAAATAAACCAAAACAAAACTAACTTTCTACAAAATTTGAAAGGAAATTTAACTGAAATCCACTCTAATATATTAATTTCATATTGTACTGGATACCTGACTTCATATTTATTTTCCTCTGTCACCTTATACATATTCCGACTTGAAATAATAGTTGCTGAAGTAAGCATTTCAATGATACTTCTGATAAGTTACGAAAGAAGAACAGTTTCTATATGTAGTTCTTTGAAGCACCAGAATACCAAATCCATCTTAAAACTAACAACTCTAAATTATCAAATTATCGACAGACGTTAGTGAGAAGTCAGTATTTTTTATAGCCTATTCATAAAATAAAAATTCAACAAACGTTTTTTTCTTCTTTTTTTTTTGAACTATTCAAAAAAAATTTCGAGATTCAGGTTACTTTAGCGCTGGACATATTCTATAAAAAAACATGTATATTGTTGAAGAGAGTCTGTTGCCATACAGACATTAGGAAATACAATGTCCCATTCAATATCCGTAAAGATATTACATCCTACAAACCGATAATTGTTAACTTGTTCTTCTGAATATGCAAGTAATATTTATCGCTACGTATAAAGCAACCAACAATCGATCATTCGTATTTCGTATCAGGGTCCAAGGAAAGGGGGAGGAAATAGTACATAATGATAAAAAAGCCGTCGAGCGTAGCCAGTCGAATTTTTTTAAAGATTTTTATCGATCCGTAAAAGAGGGGGCGTACGCCCTCTAAGCCACCACTGCTTTGATTAAACCATAAAGAATATCCCGGTATTAGAAAGGGTACATTTAACTTTTAGTTGCTAATTTCTAACTCTATTCAACTTTTTAAGGCAATTGACGAAAACTCGATCTAAACTTGAAAATATTTATGCTGCTGGTACCCTTCAAAAAGACGGCAAGGTTTATAACATGGAACCAGAACTTACAAAACTAATGCAAGAGGAAAGAGACCCAGATGTATTAAATTGGGCATGGAAAGGATGGCGGAACGAGACGGGCAAACAAATGAAGTCTTTATATGCAGAAATGGTCAAATTATTAAACTTGGGAGCAGAAGAAAATGGTAGGGATCAACATTCCCGCAATAGGAAATATCAAAAAGCAATAAAACAACTTCTAAAATAGAGGAAAATAGTGAAAATATTCTGGATTTCTGTGAGAAATGTATATATTTTTTTTACCAAAATACATTTATTTTCAAAATATACGTCTTTCGAGATAAGTCTTATACAGAAATGTACTCGCTTAAAAAAAATATAATAAACAAATAATAAGAAAGTCGAAAAAATATTATTTTTATTTTTTTTTTTAGAATATTCTGATTATGGTGACGCTTGGAGACAAGGTCAGTTTGATGATACACCTGAATTACTTCAAATGTGCGAGACATTATGGAAAGAAGTTTCACATCTGTACAAAAAGCTACATGCCTTTGTAAGAATGAGACTAAAAGATTACTACTCAAAGCACTTTCCAAGCTATAAGTTTCCAACTGACGGAACAATACCAGCACATCTACTTGGTAATAAGATGATATGTATATTGTTACTATGCATGCAAGTAAAATTCATCACGTTATTTTCCTTTCACAGATATATATATATATATATTTAAAGAGTTTTTATGAGCATATGAATATAATTTTAGTGTCATGTATTTATGTTAATAATGAGAATAGTTTTTCATTTACATTAGAAACAAAATATCACCGAAAGCATTTTCAGTGCCCTTTTCCCCTTGTACTCTCTTGATACCAGATTAGCTTTATACGTCCGCCTACAATAAGAGTGGGGCTTTACGTTTACTGTGCGTCTCAACGTTCGAAATTCAGTTTGTTCGATCATTATCTGGTCAAAGTATTTGGTCTAGGTCTAAAACTACCATGAAGGTGTAGTCACATCAAAATGAAACTTGATACTCATGTTCACTATTATGTAAACTTTTTTCATTTGTGCGCCAAGATTTTGAGCCCGATTTCACGGTTCACTGAACATAGAAATGTGATAGCATTTTTGGTTAAGGTAGTTAACCATGAAGCTGCGGTCACGTGAACTTATAATTAACTTTATACTCATGTCAATCATGATGTGAACTTTTTATATTCTTTTGAAATCCTGTCATGGCTACATTTTTACTATTTTTCATGAAGACAGTTTCATATGTCTAAAATGATGATTCCAACTACACTAACTGATGAACAGCTGATAGTTTAAGTTCCTAAAGATGTATAAATCAAACCGGGTATAAAAGAGTACTAATGAATTGCAATTTTTATACAGGAAATATGTGGGCACAAGAGTGGCAAGGCGTCTATGAAATTATCAAACCTTTCCCGGATGTATCAGAAACTGACGTCACGAAAGAAATGTCGAAACAAAACTATGATGTACATAAACTATTCACCATGGCGGAAAAATTTTACATGTCTCTTGGTTTGGATCCAATGACAAAAACCTTTTGGAAAAAGTCAATTTTGGTTCGACCTAAAAATAAAAAAATTCAGTGCCATGCTTCAGCAACCGATTTTTTTACTGACGAATCAGACGAACAAAATGATGACTTCAGGTAGTTATATATTAAAGTTTGGGAAATGATGTCGAAAAGAAAGTGTCGTCGACAAGACTTGTTGTCTTTAATGCTAAATATCTTTATTGAATGGGGGTGTTCTTAAAAGGCCACTGAATAGAATAAAAATAACACATTTCAATCGCTCGTTTGTGAATATAGCAATCATGAGCTCAAATATTCTTATTCATACTTTATCTGTAATTGGTATTCATGTTAATGCATGCAATATTTTTTAGCATCAAAGAACTCAAAAACGAATCTCGTTTAATGTTCGGAATGTGGTAAAATTTTCTTGTAAGGAAGTAGAGGTGAAACATTTTGAAAAATAAAATTTGATTTTATTGATTACCATAATCATTATTTTTCAATGTTGGTAGGATCAAAATGTGTACTGTGGTCGATTCTACATACTTTGAAACTATACATCATGAGATGGGCCATATACAGTACTTCATGGAATATAGGAACCAACCAGTCGTGTTCAGAGACGGTGCCAACCAAGCATTCCACGAGGCCATTGGTGATACCATATCATTATCTGTAAATACAAACAAACATCTAAAAGCTGTCGGACTCATTCCTAAAGATCATACAAACAATCTGGAGGAAGAAAAAAGTAAATGTTATGTATATCAAATATGGAGATGTGGTATGATTGCCAATTAGACAACTATACGTCAGAGTCCAAATGACGCGGATATAAGCAACTAACTACCATGGTACGGCCTACAATAATAAGTAAACCCATACTGTATACTATAATCAGCTAGTAAAGGTTCTGATATGAGAAAATTTGAAACCATTCAAACGAGAAAACAACCGGCCTGATTTATGACAAAACAATAGACGAAAAACAAATACGACAGACAGCAACAAACGACAACCACCTGAACTACATGCCCCTGGTTTGGGACAAGCACATATAGAATGTGCTCATTAGTAAGGGTGCGAATTAATCCTGGGTCTCATCCAACCCCATTCCTACATTTGCTGCGCTCCTTTTTTATTATGAAATAATTTTATTTTTTAATTGATACTTTTCTCCTTGCCTCAACATGACCATTATTTGCTGACGCGGCGTTAAACGCATACCAATTCATAAAATCAATTTAATGGGGTTCACAATACCCAAACATTTGGTTTATTTTCTTTCCGTTAAATATTTCGTTTTTTTTTCACTATATCATTCTTTCTCCGTTTTCTAATATCTACCTTTGAATCAAAACCTACAGATCGGTTATCGCAAAGAAGATTTCACAAACAAAAGCATTAATAAAAAGAAGACTAAAATTCTATACATTGAACAAAATTGCGGAACGTTAATTTTTACAACAGCGTGTATTTTTGTAGTTAAAAACAAGAAAGCAAGCTAACCGGTTCATTTCACAAGATTATGTACATGCACATTCTTCTTTTTTCAGAAAGGGATTTGAACATGCTAATGAAACAAGCATTGTTTAAGATAGCTTTCCTGCCTTATGGTTATCTGATCGATCTTTGGAGATTTCGGGTATTTGACGGTACGATTCATGAGGGTGATTACAATAAACAATGGTGGAAACTGAGGTAAGATCTCTGTTAATAATTTATATTAAATGTAATGGAATTTTTTTTTGTATTTCCATAAATTCAATATTTTGGGAAATACAAAACTATATACACAGGTAGGCTCAGTTTCTCCTTATGTTTTTTTCACACAAGTCCGTCAATCTTTACTAAATTTTACAGTAATACAGTTTTGTATGTTTTCATTCAGGTTGTAACATCATTAGTTCACATTTCGGAATAACTATCCGCATTATCAAATGCTAAAAGATGGGTAAAGAATGCAATTTTGAAAAAAATAGATAAATTTCGAGTATTTCTCAAAAACTGTTTTTTCTCCAAATCAATGAAGTAGAACGACATTCTCTTTCAAAACCGAAATTTTACATATATAGATATTGTCATTTGTCTTTCAGATACCAAATAATTCATTTTAGTAACGGATGTTCTTCGATGCAAATTTCTTTTTCATAAACATTTCAACATTTTGTAAACTGTTTCAATGTCATTCTCTTGAACAGCAATGCACAATCCTTTAATACATCTATCCCATCGAACTTGAAATAAAGGATACAACAGATACAATTAAGTATGCCTCATAACTTGACTTACATCTAGAAATTGACAATGAGGGTCGGTTGAAAACAAAACTTTACAACATAAAAGATGATTTCAGCTTCCAAAGTGTGAACTTTCCATTTCTATGTAGCAACATTCCAGCAGCGCCTGCATATGGAGAATATATCTCCCAGTTGATACGATATTCCAGGGCTTGTATTTCCTATCATGATTTCCTTGATAGAGGGTTGCTGCTCACAAGGAAGCTATTAAACCAAGAGTTCAAAGTGGTGAAGTTGAAATCATCCCTTCGTAAGTTTTACAGACGCCATCACGAGTTGGTTGACTGTTATGAAATATCCGTTTTACAGATGATAGCGGTTATGTTCCTAATGTCGTAACCAGTGTTTTTAATATATAATAAGATTGTACATGCATATAAGTACTATTTGACCTGATAAATATATGAAAGGGTAATGATTTCGCTGTGAAATATATGTATAGGTAGGGATTTCACAATTATTCAATATATGAATGGGGGTGTTTTTTTAAATCCCAGCTGCACAACTGTACCCAAAATCCCATGTTTGGAGAAAATCAAAAGGTTCTTTTTTAAATTTGATGTCCGTATTAATAGATTGTGCTTTCTGACAGCCTCTTTCGTATCTCTTAATGTTTTTAAGCTCGCCTGGCCCAAAGGGCCTAGTGATCTTTTCTCATCACTTGGCGTCCGTCGTCCGTCGTCGTCATCTGTTAACTTTTAAAAAAATCTTCTTCTCTGAAACTGTTTCGCCAAATTTAACCAAACTTGGCCACAATCATCATTTGGGTATCTAGTTTGAAAAATGTGTCCGGTGACCCCGCCTGCCAACCAAGATGGCCGACATGCCTAAAATAGAACATAGGGGTAAAATGCTAGCTTTGTCTGTTATTTTAAAAACCGTTATAAATAGAGAAAAAATTTACCGGAGCAGAAATGCTCAGAATGTTGAGCTCTACTAATTGTCCATAAACGTCAAAACTGTCAGACGACTTCTTGTAGGAGTTATTGCCCTCAAATGACAAATTTTAATATTTTTTTTTATTTTTGCCTACTATCTTGAAAACAATAATAGATAGAGAGAAACTTTAAATTGCAAAAATTATCAGCAAGACAAGTTCTTCAAATAAGTTTCAAATGGTCGAGAAATCGTCAGTCGACTCCTTATAGAGTTATTGCCCTTTGATGAAGATTTTTATCAATTTTTGCGTTTTTTGCCTTATATTCTAAAAATTATAATAGATAGATAGAAACCTTAATTAAGCATAAATAACCTGCAAGACAAGATCTACAATTAAGACAAATGGAGGCAATTTTCGGACGACTCCTTATTGGAGTTATTGCTCTTTAAAGACGATTTTTACCATTTTTTTTTTGGCGTTTTGTTTTATATGATAAATATTATATAAGATAAATAGACACTTTAAATCACAAAAATGACCAACAAGGCAAGATCTACTAACAAGTCAAATTTTGTCGATATAGTTAGTAGACTATCACTCTTTATAGGAGTGATTGCCCTAAAATGAGGATTTTTCACCCTCTTTTGTGTTTTGAGCAAAAACTAAAGAAGATAGAGAGAAACTAAACAGACTAAATGATCAGTAATACAAGATCAACATAACAGATGTTGGAGAGTGTTCTGTGTTGAATGTGCACGTAGACCAAGGTGAGCGACACAGGCTCTTTAGAGCCTCTAGTATATATATTTTGCAGTACCACTAACACTGTGTCACACCTTGTGATACATATTCATGATAATAGTCCCACAAGTACATAAACACAGCCATACTGTATGTTTTACTTTGATTCCACGGGTCTTTGTTTTTGAATAAGAGACAACTTCCAACCTAAAGCTTTGCTCTACACATACAGTTATATATCTTTTTCTTTTTTGTGTCGTTGAGGTACTGTCTCATTGACGCGCAACTTTCGTCTCCTTGTTATATGTTGAAAATGATTTCATTTTGCTGAACGATATTTTATATACAGTGTTTTATAATAATTGTAGGTTAGAATACCAAGGATTGTCTTCCCCTGTTGTAAGAACAAGCGAAGATTTTGATCCGGGAGCAAAATTCCACATACCATCCAACTCGCCGTATATATGGTATGTTATTTGTTGTTTAAAAATAAACCATGCAAATTCAGTCTTTCTTTCTATCATTTTTTTATATTATATGCAAGATACTGACCTGACGGTTTGAGAAGACATGTTATCCCCTGTCGTTTACTCGAGTCGGTCAGGCTTTGCAGATTGGTTGAAACATTTTTAAAGCTACATTTTTTTGGAAAATATGTAATCTGTAGAAACTGTTTCAATAGCATATAGCATATGAAGAAAACATGTTACTTTCAATATTAATGTAATTTCATTAATATTTCTTATATTTTAGTTACTTCGTCAGTTTTATAGTACAGTTTCAATTCTATGAATCCCTTTGTAAGGCGAGCGGGCATACAGGTCCATTGCATACCTGTGATTACTATCGGTCTAAAGGAGCAGGTGATAAATTAAGGTAAATGTATATGATTATGTATAGTTTTCCCATGTTTTGTTCTCAAATACTTACAATTTATGAATTCATGTATTCCATAAACATAGATAATCTAGCTTAAACATTTAGACATATTAATATAGAATATACGTTTTTTTAATGTCAGCTTCTTGAGAAAGAAAGATAGAAAAACGTATGTAAAACTATGAATTTTAAATCGATTTTTGAAAGAAATGAACGGAAACTGAATAAAACTTGCATCAGGAATAACAAATTACCTGCCAAAATAAAACACAACGAAGCTACAAATTAAAAAAACTCAGAAAAAAAGTTATCTTTGTAAGGTTTTTGAACTTTTCACAAAGTAAAAAGTACCAGCTTTCCCTTTAAACATTGGAATTCCATTTCATGTGTCTTATAAGTATTTCATTATTTTGTAAATCTTTTCAGATCATTTCTGCAGTTGGGGCACAGTAAACCTTGGCGTGAAGCAATGAAAGTTCTGACTGGCACCATGGATATTAAAGCCGATGCTATAACAGAATATTTCAGCCCATTGACAGAATGGTTGGATAAAGAATTACAAGAAAAAAGTCAAACTGTTGGATGGGAAGGCGCCAAAATTAATTTTGAATAAATATATTTATAGTGTCTATGGTCGCACAGTTTAGAACGTAACACAAGAATTCTACAGTCGTAGTAATTACTTAAATTCCTTTGTCCACATTGTAAACTTGGCTATGCAGAGTTGTTCGTTTAGAATCCGAGAACATTTTACATTTTTTTGGGGTACTGAATGAGATAATTTCCCCCGTAATTTGGCGAACCCTGAAGAGTCCTTTGCAATACGACATCTCGCAGTGAAAGCCCAATTTTAACGCTACGAAATTGTCTCGAAATTCAGTTTTTTAGATATTGTATAACCATATAGTTTAAACATCTTTGTTTTATGATCCTCTGCACTTTAAAAAATGCATAAATTATTGTATGAAAAAAATCAATATGTCCAATATCATGGTATCATGGTGGTTATACTATTTCCTTAAGGCACCAAGGTTCCACCAAGATATGAAATGACCTTATCAAAACATCAAATTCCAAATTTCAACAGTATTTGGTAAAAAATTCAAGATGACAGGCTTATCATTTTGTTCGTCAGTTTACAAAAGACTCATATGTGACGCTTGAATAAAAAAAGTTAAAAGGCTTAATAAAGCACGAAATTGAAGATCATTTAGGAACTATTTCCGAAATGGTTTGCCAAATACAGCTAAGGTAATCTTAACATGGGGTAGAAAATCCTTAATACTAGTATTTCGAACAATTCAAAGTTTAATAAACAGTTAATTTATAAATGACCATATCAATCATAATTTATTTCAACACAGAAGTGCTGACTGATCGGCTGGCTGAAAGATTTCCAGCCTTAGTATTTATATATATGTAAGGTTTAACGATTTAAAGTAAGTGTCATTTAAATCTTGCCAATATCAAAGCACTGACAACTAACCAGATAGTACCCTAGACGATGGAAACTCAACAAACTGAGGTACCGACCTACTAGTAGTTATATATATCAGTATATCACTGAGAAAAAAAATAAATTAGGAGGAAATATAATTAGACTTCCTTTGCCCGCTCGTCTTGTAATAGTATTAAAACAAATGTTTAGAAAGGAAAGTACATGAAAAATATTCGCGACAAGAGCATCAATGCTGAAAGAAACCTAAATGTATCCGCCATGTCTTTTTGTATAAATCGTTGTCAAAGGGAGTTACAACATTAGCTTGACCATAATTCCTTTCTACGAAATACTGTTAACATTAATCCCTTCAATGGAAATATTACTAACAAATTCTAAATGAATTGCTATAGACACTTGTCTTGTCTCTCTGTAAAATGATTTTTTTGTAACTTCTGGGTACTACCGAAATTAAAAGACCGGCTACATATCTTGATCTTCCTCTTTATTAACACGGATGGACGACGACTGACAAGATTTCAACTTTACAATTGTCAACTTTTCGGAAGAAGTATACCCTTTATCCCATCTTATGGTGTATACAAATACACCACAAGAACTACTCCGACTGAATCGACATTTTATAAGTATTACGGTCAACAACAATAATTGGTTGATACGATGTGTTTGTGTCTCGACATAATTTAACGGTCATGGATCTTTAAATAACAGAATATTCGTCTGATCTGTAGATTTGATGATTTTGTCATAATCTCGACTGATTGTTGATTTGCATGACAGGTGATGCATGCATAGTAGAGGACGTTTATGCTGAAGATACACATGGCATCGCTCCTTTTAATAGATTATGAGATTTGAACATCGGTAAACTACTGTTGCCTTAAATCTAATGATTGATATATATGGCTTTGACCTAGCTTTCAGTAACTGTGATAGGTACTGTTTGTCTTTATTCTTTATGTTAGTTGTGTTGTGTGCTTCTTGTCAATATAATGAGTCAAGTTATTTCCAACTGTGTAACACCCCTGTCCCAGGTTAAGGGAGGGTTCAGCGATCAAAACATGTTTAACCCTGCCAAATTCCTTCTGTGCTTGTCTTCATTCAGTTAATCAGTGGTTGTAGTTTGTTGCTGTCTGGTTTTTTTGTTGTGTTTTTTTCGTTTATTGTTTTGTCATAAATCTTCTCGTTTGAATTTGTTTCACATTTTGTGATGTCGGGGTCTTTTATGGTTAACTATACATTATAGATTATTCTCATTGTTAAATGCCTTACGATGACTTATAGTTTCTAATATGCACGCCATTTACACTCTGGTGGGTAGTTGGCTCATTTGTAATCATACCACATGTCCTTAGTTTATATTCTAAAATTTTAGTGGTCTTTTAGAATATAAATAACCAAAGTTCCCCACCTTTTATGATGATATTTATACAGTTGACTTCTCCACTTTTTACAAAAATACTTACCATTCTAGTTTTGATAGATAGTCTATCTTTGATTCACAGAAAAAAAATAGCCAACTTAGTTAGAAATTTCTTGTTTCTTATTCTAGGGAGGGACAACTCGAACGTTGTTAAAACACGGATTCCAACAAATTATTTTCTGATAGTGGCAGCATCAAGATGTTTTATTTTTGGATTGTTAAATAAAGGCAACAGTAGTATACCGCTATTCGAAATTCATAAATCGATTGAGAAAAAAAAACCAATCCGGGTTACAAACTAAAACTGAGGGAAACACATCAAATATAAGAGGAGAACAACGACACAACAGAAACACAACACTGAAATGCAACAGACACAGAAACGAACTATAATATAACAATGGCCATTTTCCTGACTTGGTCACTAACAATAATTGGTTGATACGATGTGTTTGTGTCTCCACATAATTTAACGGTCATGGATCTGTAAATAACTGAATAGTAGTCTGATCTGTAGATTTGATGATTTTGTCATATTCTCGACTGATTGTTGATTTGCATGACAGGTGATGCATACATAGTAGAGGGCGTTTATGCTGAAGATACACTTGGCATCACTCCTTTTGAGTTCATGTGATAACATCAAGTTTTGATATTTGCCCTGATTTTGATTCGTTTAATAGATTATGAGATTTGAACATCGGTAAACTACTGTTGCCTTAAATCTAATGATTGATATATATGGCTTTGACCTAGCTTTCAGTAACAGTGATAGGTACTGTTTGTCTTTATTCTTTATGTTAGTTGTGTTGTGTGCTTCTTGTCAATATAATGAGTCAAGTTATTTCCAACTGTGTAACACCCCTGTCCCAGGTTAAGGGAGGGTTCAGCGATCAAAACATGTTTAACCCTGCCAAATTCCTTCTGTGCTTGTCTTCATTCAGTTAATCAGTGGTTGTAGTTTGTTGCTGTCTGGTTTTTTTGTTTTTTATTTTTCGTTTATTGTTTTGTCATAAATCTTCTCGTTTGAATTTGTTTCACATTTTGTGATGTCGGGGTCTTTTATGGTTAACTATACATTATAGATTATTCTCATTGTTAAATGCCTTACGATGACTTATAGTTTCTAATATGCACGCCATTTACACTCTGGTGGGTAGTTGGCTCATTTGTAATCATACCACATGTCCTTAGTTTATATTCTAAAATTTTAGTGGTCTTTTAGAATATAAATAACCAAAGTTCCCCTCCTTTTATGATGATATTTATACAGTTGACTTCTCCACTTTTTACAAAAATACTTACCATTCTAGTTTTGATAGATAGTCTATCTTTGATTCACAGAAAAAGAATAGCCAACTTAATTAGAAATTTCTTGTTTCTTATTCTAGGGAGGGACAACTCGAACGTTGTTAAAACACGGATTCCAACAAATTATTTTCTGATAGTGGCAGCATCAAGATGTTTTATTTTTGGATTGTTAAATAAAGGCAACAGTAGTATACCGCTATTCGAAATTCATAAATCGATTGAGAAAAAAAAACCAATCCGGGTTACAAACTAAAACTGAGGGAAACACATCAAATATAAGAGGAGAACAACGACACAACAGAAACACAACACTGAAATGCAACACACACAGAAACGAACTATAATATAACAATGGCCATTTTCCTGACTTGGTACAGGACATTTTAAGAAAAAACGGTGGGTTGAACCTGGTTTTGTGGCTAGCCAAACCTCCCGCTTTTATGGCAATGTTAAATATAACATTAAAATGACAACATTACATGACAGGACTACAATACAAATAAATGGGAGAACATATAGGACAGAGAAACATACGAATAATAGCTAACAAAAGGTACCAGGTTAAAAGGTTTTTGAAAGTTAGATTTGGTGACAACTCTTTGAAATTGAAAAATTCCTTGGTTCGTCCCTGAATACAGTCAGGCCTATTACTCTAACATTTACTTGCACATATAAATCATGTGAACGTCGTTTTAAAACTAAACTTAACGGAAAAAAAGATACTCTAAATTCCTATCGTAAACTGCCTATGGAGTACGCATATATCCCAATTGATACTATATTCAAGTCGTTGTATTTCTTATCAGGATTTCCTTGATAGAGGGTTGTCTTTACAGCGATGCTAATAAAACTCTGACACCTCTGACGTACTAAATGAAAAGCCTGGTATCTGATGTTTTGTCCCATAACTTGATGAATGTTGTTGTTTATGAAAGATATGTCTCTGAGGGTATCAACCGGCCTGCAGTCAATATATCAATAAAATAATCTAGAAGCTATTACGATTATATACAAAAATGATCATAATGATAATAATTGTCATTTGAGAGCAATAATTATAGTTAATGTCTGTAATATGACTTTCATCAAATGTGTACTCTTTATTAGAGTTGAGGAAATCAATTTAATGTAAATAATATATTATTTTTTTTTATTTTTACTTTGAAGTTTTATATTGAAGTAAGAAGTCAATTCACAAAGGATAACATGATAATATGAGAAAATAAATTCCAAGGACAAATCATTAACATTAGATCAAAGTGAAATAATAAATTACTGTTTTCTTCGGTGTCTGAATCACATGATTTATCTAGACATAACGGTGCTCGCAATATTCGTAACACTTACTCATTATTTGTAGATCCTATTTTGATTGTATATCGATTTTCTCTCTACGGTTTCTCTGTACCTATTGTGTGCAAGAAAGTATCCAATAA